GGAGCATGTATTGGCAGGTAATAGACAAGGTTATTTAATTATGCTTCACACGAATCATACGTATTATAAACTCAAATATAAACAAACAATTTTGAGGTATAAAGTGGACCGCTATTCACAGCAATGTTTTAATCGCCAAACGAGACACGAGTGTCAATACAAATGCATTTATGAAAAGTATTTGCTAAATGAAAACAAAATCTATTATAATTATCTAGCTTATAATGAGTTAGAAAATAACCGCAATAATAGTAACATGTATTTTGGACCATATAATGTAGCTAGCAAAAGTCTGACTAAAATATGTGAACATGAATGCAGTGATCGCGAGGAGTGTACTCAACATTACTACACAATTGATGATAGGATCGAAAATATAGACTATAACCTGGATTATTTAACTATACAGATAAAGTTTCCCACAGAACCCACTACTGTATACGAAATATCATTGAAAATGTCTTTCGAGGAGTACTTCAGTTTAATGGGAAGTATATTAAGCCTATGGTTTGGTTTCTCTATATTATTATTGACTCAATTCTGTGGGGAAATGTGTATGAAATTTAAATTTTTCAAACAAATAAATAATAAATTCACATTCAAGAAAAATTATAATTATCGTAAAAATAATGTTAAACTATTTGTAAACTTAAAGCCAGTGTCTCAGTATAATGATATTGCACTTATTTCACAAAATAATATTAAATAGTTTCTTAATGTATTCAATAGTTTATATTATTTTGTAATCTAAATTGTAAATTTTATGCTGACTATAATATTATAAATAAAAGTGCATCAACATGTTATGTAACTATAAGTAAGTGATTTATTATAATAATGAATTTTTGTACTTAAAATGTTTGTTGTTATTATTGTTTCAGTTACAATATTATATATAATTTAATTCTTTTCATTAATTAATAATTATTCTTGATTTTCGTGTTAATCTCAAATATATTTTATTTTTTGGTTCTGAATATTATTTATACGTTATTATTACATACAGTACTTGTACTTAATTATAAGATTTCTATTATTTTAAAAACTATATTATTGGTCATAGATTACATATTCAATAGTACCGTTATCTCGGACTTTCAGTTGCCGGCAACTATATCTAAGTTTCTGATAAGGGGGGCAATAGTACATAGGTATACTTGCTCCATATTTTGAGCTCATTTTTCAATTTTTGTAAAATGAGTTATTATTGCCCTATTGAGTGAAATAACTAAACTTTTCATACAAACTGTAAAAAAGTTTTTGAATTGAGTTACATTTAAAAACGTTAACAAAATATCCATATTAGGGTCCAAAGTTAGATCAATTTCTGAAACCCGGCCCGACCCAAACCCTTAGTGTTCTTTAATCTGAAAGCCCGACNCAAACCCTTAGTGTTCTTTAATCTGAAAGCCCGACCGACTTTCAAAGTTTACAAAAATCATAATTAGATCTAATAAACAACAATTTATCGACATTTTGGGGTCGAGTTATGAGAAAATATAAATACTGTGAGAAAATTATAAGGGTTTTCTAAGGGTTTTGATTTCTACAACGGGAAACCCTTACCCGACCCTAATATTCAAACCCGTTCCCGTCCGAAACCCTTAAGGGTTGGGTCGGACAAGGGTTTCCTCCTTCCTATTATAATCCATATTCTGTCGGTCAGTGTGTTGTGAATTGAGACTAAAGTCAGTAAAATGTCTCAATGTTTATTTTAGCATTTTGTTATCTGTCGGGAATAGGCGGGCCCCATCGGGAGTTGTCGGGAGGGACGGGAGTATGGCTTAGCCTCAATTGGGCAGACTACTCTATACTGTATCTGAGATATTGAGTTAGAATTGTATGCAATTATATGTCAGTTTCTGAGAGGGGGGTCTCCAACATTTCCTGATGGACCCATAGGACCTATAGGGCCCGGCTGTCCTTTTTCACCAATCACTCCAGTGTCACCTTTTTCTCCTGATGTCAGCAAATAAAGTACACAAACAATGAATGAACACATGAACAAATAGATTTCATCTCTCAATTCATTGGCCACCTGTTGAGCCCACGTCCCCTTGAGGTCCGGACAGACCATTCAATCCCGGCTGACCTGTCGGTCCACTCATACCCTGAATATAATAAACATTTAATCGCTATTATAAGTTCAAATCAAATATTTAATTATGTTTCAAACTCTTCGCTATCATTTTATTCATAATACAGTATAGTTCTTGTAAACACTTTATGTTGTATCCATGAGTACTAAACTTATAGTATAATGTTTCAAAACCATTTTGTGACAATAACTCTATCATCAAAAATATATAAAATATACAAGTTTGTAACACCTGTTTTCCTGGGGCTCCGGTAGCACCTTGCGGGCCGGGAACTCCTGTATTGCCATCAATTCCATTATTACCAGGTTCGCCCTAAATTCGTGTCATTATTTTAACAAACAATCATTTATAGAATAAATATATTTTACTAATACTTTGATTCCGGGTAAACCAGGAGTTCCCTCAGCGCCTGGCATTCCTGGAAGACCTGCTAATCCTTTATTGCCTTCAGATCCGGGCAAACCCTTTATCCAATCAAATCAAATCAAAACAAAAATAATAGTTAATTATAATTATTTTAAAATTTATCGTAACTTTTATTGTATACGAGTACATATTTTATAATTAATGTACTGTACCAGGGGTTTATCATAATATTTTTCGTATTTCATAAGTATATTTAATAATTAAATTTAAGATATATTCTATTTGTTTTAAAAATTGATTAGTAGTTCATTTAATCAATTAGGAGTTGGAGTTTTAGTAATCGGTAGATATCTTGTCCAATAATTTTTTGGTAATTTTTTGTGACCACTTTCCCGAAGCCGATTTTACATCAAATTTGTGCAACTCAAATTCACACCTGGTCTAAACATATCCATAAGTTATGGCAATGAAGGGTGTACCATGATAACTTATAAACAATATATTAGAATTAAAAAACATTCTAATAATAAATTATTAAATTTCATTTATAAATACGAAGTATTATGATAAACACCTAGTATATTCAGGAACATTATTATTGCCATTTTTATACCGGTTCTCCCGAAGGACCGGGTGGTCCAGCTATTCCCTCATCACCTATAATACCGGATACATTTATTACACTTATTTAGCAAACAATTACTTTTATACCTTTAGGGCCGGGAGGACCTCCATCTCCTGTATCACAATTGTTGCCTTTAGGACCCGGAGCACCATTCAGACCAGTTTCTCCTTTTTGGCCAGATTTCCCCTCAGGACCGGGTGATCCAGAAGCACCTATTTGTCCAGTGATTCCTTTACATAGATAAGTCATAGATAAGTAAAACAATTTTTAATTTAATTATTAAAACTTAAGATAAAATAATACCACTATTATACAACAATACCTTGGTTCCCTTGTGGGCCAGGGGGTCCTTGATTTCCTGGAGGACCAGATTTACCATGGTCACCCTTTTCACCTCTAGGACCCACGGGTCCGGGTAAACCCTTTCAATGCAATAAAATAAGTAACAATATTCAAAATAAATAAATTCTTGAGCTGTACTTGTAATCCATGAGTCCCTGGAAGACCCCGTAAGCCCATAGGCCCATCATCTCCTTTAGGACCTGTCAATCCCAACAGACCGGGTGCTCCGCGTTCTCCGATGGGTCCAATCGGGCCTTTTTCTCCAACATCTCCCTGCAAACCAATTGGTCCTTTGGGTCCCTGAAAGCAATTGTTCACTTATTAGACAAATTGAGTGTTTATTGAAATCAATTCAATGTATATTCACTGGTTCTCCACGCGATCCCTTCGACCCTTTCTCTCCGGACACTCCCTGTTCTCCTTTATCTCCATCATCTCCTGGTTGTCCTGGAGGGCCCACAGGTCCCTGTGCTCCCTGTCCAACATTGTTAAGTATAAATATACTCAATTCAACTTTTCTTTAATATCTCACTTTAAGGCCATCTTTTCCATCTTTACCGGGAGGACCAGCAAAACCGACATCACCTTTATCTCCCTTTCCACCTATAGATCCACTCGGCCCTCGTGGTCCTTCTCTGCCATTATCGCCTGGAGGCCCTCTATCTCCTGCTATTCCTGAGTCGCCCTTTCGTTGCAAACAAAATAAAACTAATAAAAACTATATTCTAATTATTGTCTAACCATTCATAATATTGCATACCTTAGGCCCGGGAATACCAACGGGTCCAGTCTCACCATTTGAGCCCTTGACGCCTTGTGGACCCTATTATCAACAAATTGTATTATCAATTCAATATATCATACTTGCAAACCCTTTGGTCAAAAACAGTATTTTATATAATTTATGTAATTTTAACTTTTTAAACCCAAGGTAGACTGTTCATTAAATTTAAGACTGTAACTTAGCATTACCCAATAATGGAAATATGAAATTTTGTGCAGGGTAAAATCATTTAATTATCAACTGTTTACGGTGTCAATTAAGGTTTACTGATAGTCGAGTATTTGTAATATATATTTGATAATTAAAATTCATTTCCATGACTCATATGTTAGTAAATTGTTTGATTAAACAATACACTTACTGGAGGTCCGGGTAATCCTCGGTCACCGGGTGGTCCTTGTGAACCAATGGCGCCCTGAGAACCAGGAGCTCCAATAGGTCCGGGTTGACCCGTTTGTCCTTCTTTGCCAACAGCTCCGGGTAATCCTGACTCACCCGCCATTCCTGGCGGTCCAGAAACTCCAGGTTCTCCTAAGTATTCATTATTTCTTATTAATAAAAGCAAAATAAAATAAATTAATTTGAAACCTTGTGATCCAGGTAGTCCCACATTGCCAATGGGGCCCACAGGCCCTGGTGGTCCCTGTTGTCCATTAGAACCGGGCAAACCTATTGGCCCTCTTTCTCCTGCAAAACCAGGCATTCCATCCTTTCCTTCAAAATCACATTATTATAAATATATCCCATTTTGTCAAATTTTATTCTATCAAAACCTGGCTCTCCTGGTGGTCCTGGTATTCCCATTAAGCCAACGGGCCCTCTCTCTCCTGGTTGTCCCTTCTCACCCGGCTTTATACATAATCCAGTACTTAAAATGATCTTGTTCAATTATTTATCAAATACCTGTCCAACAATGCCGTCAGCCCCTGTCGTTCCTTTATATCCGAGAGCGCCTCTATTCCCTCTCAAACCTCTACTTCCAGCCGCACCTCTCGGCCCGGGAGCTCCTCTGCAAACATTTGTACATTAATTCATCAATAGTTTCGTCATTTCCTTCATTACATTCATACTTACCGATCGCCAACTCCTCCAATAAACCCCTAAAATACGAGAGAGAGAGAGAGAGAGAGAGAGAAAGAAAGAAAGAGAGAGAGAGAGAGAGAGAGAG